ATAATCAAATGTTCTGGAATACTCAGTTTTTGCAGTGTTATCCATAGCTTGTCATGATTCACACAGTCCAAAGCCTTTGCACAGATAAACACCATTCTGGTATTCTCTGCTTTCAGCCAAGATTCATAGGACATCAGCAATAATATCCATCATTCCATGCCCTTCTCTGAATTTGGCTTAACCTCTGAAGTTCCCTGTCAATGTATTGTTGCAGACATTTAAAAATTATTTTAGCAAAATTTTACATTTATGTGATGTTCATGATATTGTCCAATGAGTTCCACATTCCACTGGGTCACCTCTCTTTGGAATGGGCACAAATATGGATCTCTTTCAATAAGTTGGCCAGGTAGCTGTCTTCCAAATTTCTTGGCATAGATGAGCGAGTGCCTCCTGTGATGTATCAGTTTGTTGAAAGATTCCATCAATTTCTGGAGCCTTGTGCTTTGTAATGTTTAGTATATCTTAGACTTCTTTCTTCAGAACCATTGGCTCTTGATCATATGCTACCTGTTGAAATGGTTGAACATTAACCATTTCTTCTTTGTACAGTGGTTCTTTGTATGCCTTCCATTTTCTTTGGATGCTTTCTGCATCATTCGTATTTTGCCCATAGAATCCTTCAGCATTTCAAGTTGAGAATGACTTGTTTCTTCACTTCTTTAAGCTTGAAAAATGCTGAGTGTGTTCTTCCTTTTTGGTTCTCTTACCTCAGGTCTTTGCACATTTCATTGAAATATTTAACTTTGCCTTCTCGAGTTACCCTTTGAAATTTTCTGTTAGGCTCTATTAACTCCTTTAGCATCTCTACACTGGAGATCAAGTTTCAGATTGTCTTCTGACATTCAAAATGCTTAGAACTAAACAATGATGAAATAACTATGTTTAAATATATGTGGAGTACAGCTCATTTGTAGTAAAAAGAAAATTTATTGTCTTAAATAATAAATAAGAGGCTAAAATTAATGAGCTAAGAAACTATTTTTATAACTTAGAAAACAAATAGAATATAATAAACTAGACAAAAGGAAATTATAAATATAAGAGCAGAAAATATAAAATGAAGGAAGCATGCAATAGACTGGATCAAAGCCAAAAATTGATCCTTTGAAAATAGATCTCTGATGAAATTAATTGAAACAAAAAGAGAGAAGGCTCAAATAAATAATATCAGGAATTTTAAAAAGGACCTATCATATTCATAGAGGTTAAATAAATAATGAAAGGATGTTGTGAAAAACTTTTGAGAACAAAATTAAAATAAGTAGCTGTATTAGTAATTAACATTTTTACAACAAAAATGGAATAAAAGTTTAGAGAATTTTACAGGTATATTTTACTGTGTAATTATAATCTTACATAAACTTTGA